CGTTTGCAAGATGCACGAGTATATATTATATATATTCGATGCGTGCGTTCGCATGCGAGATGATGATGGTCTCTTGGCTCCGAGGCTGGCCCAAGGACGCTAGTCGTCAATTGAAAAGGTCGATCCTTTTAACAGGCCCTTACCGCCGTTTTTCATTCATTGAAATTCCTTCGAGCGACTTCCGCCTGTCGATTATCCCGCCACGATCTCTCCTCTCATCTCTTTCTCTTTTTTCCTCTTCACGCGTCAGCTCCTCTCGCCAAAAATTCATATCTCCGTCACTGAGATCGAAAATTTATTTGATCCTTTCGTCATTGCGAGAGACACTGTCTTGTGTGTGTGTGTGTGTGTGTGTGTGTGTGTGTATATATATATTGCTCATTGCGACGTGATAACGATATTTTATCCCGCACAAATGTACATACACACGCATAATCGTCTAACGATTTACAGGAAATCGCAAAGTGCAAGATATTTAGCTAACAGAAATTCTGTGATCAAATTACAGTCTTGAAAGTACGAGTCTCCATTAATATCTGCAGTATAATACAGAGTAGGCCTAATAAAAAGTCACGATTTTAAATTTGAAACGAAAGTTAAAAGAAATTTTTTCCTTATATTTATGTTTTATTAAAAAAAAAAGAATAGGTGGGAAGAAAGTTTTTTCGGCCCACCCTGTGTAATTACTATGAATGTCTCAGACCGTCATTTTCTTTTTTTTTCTTTTTTTTTTTTTTTTTTCATTCTTTCTTGACAGTCGCGTTGTCGATTAGCGGATCTCTCGGCTGAAGTCGATTCGAAAAGTTAGAAACAGGCCGAATCGAAGGGACTTGCGCCCTTTGCGAGCAGCCCAGGTCAGTTACATAACGCCTCGGTGACGTTCGTGTTTCATTCAAACGGTCCGGTTATCGACAGATCGATTGCACGATACAATATAATCGGAAAGAATCGAATCGTGGCTGACCTTCGGCGTCCTCTTCTACTGAGCAACGCCTCGGATCATCCGTCATCGAATTTCGTTT